TTTTTTTTTTTTTTTTCTTTTTCCTGCCACCACATACACCATGACTCAGTTCATTTCAGTGCAGAAACACAAAAACACGTGATCTTGCATGTCGCGATGGTTTAAATGAGACAACAAAATAAACAATCTAATAATAAAGTGCACAAGCTCCGTGTGGTCGTTAACAGATGTCAACGTCAATATATATTAAAATCAGTAAAAAAATCAATATATTTAATATTGTCTTTCAGTGGTGTACAAATCAAAGTTATTTACTATAAGACATATTTTTTTTAAGATCATATGTTCACAGATAAAAGATTAAATTCCAAAAACATAAAATTTATTCAAACACATATGTTGCATAGAATTACTTCAAAAGAACCAATGGGTTTGGAATAATAATAATAAAAAAAAAGAAGAAGAAGAATTTAAAAATAAATCTAGGTTGGCACAGCAAAATAATTATCAACATTGATAAAACATCCATGGTCCCTTCCTTATTCTCTTTTTTTTTCCTTTGCAAAAGGTTTATTACAGGTGACATCTTGCTCTAAGTGTGTTTGTTGCTTCCGATGTTGAGAAGTTGCATCAGCCCTGTGATATGCCTAAATATACTGACAATATTTCTGAGGGTTGCTTTTTTTTTTTCTCTCATTCTGGAGACGTGGTGGAGAAAAAAAAAACCCATTACATGATGAATACAGATGAACACATGGGTCACCTGCTCACACAATAGCACTGAGACTCGGCCTCCATGTGTTCCTCTGACCCTCAGCATGACTGAACCCTGGCGGGCCTGAGCGAGTGTTTTGGTCACAGGCAGTGAAAGAGGCTGGTTCACTGTGTTGGAATGGGAGTCACTGACACACAACAGTATAGTGTTTTACAGCACAGCCAGATACACAGAGGAACCTTGACATTTGACCGGAAAGAATTTTTTTTTTTTTTCTCCATTTTTGAAACTGTTATTGAAACTCAGACCGGAGGGCTTTACTAACACAGCTGCCACACAGAGGTAATGACAGTCGCAGATCTACAGATGGTTTTGACACAGCTCGTGGGAGTTACATGTCCATACCAACGGTGTGATAACATGAAGGGCTTACACGAAATATTAACAAACTCTGAGCCACTACGACAGCCTTAAAGCAAAAAAAAAACAAAACAAAAAAAAAACAAGTGCTGCACACGTGACACAGATGTGATAGACTCTTGTCATCCTCTACAGTTGGCTTGTAACATTCAACACAGCATGTGCTTTGAGCCTCAGAGCCCAGGATGCCATTCATTTTTATTGTAATTCGAACCTGCCCTACAACGTCATGCTAGTGAAATAGTAATCTGTCGCTGGATGTCGACATTGACCTTGGATTTTTATTTGATTTGATCACAGCCCTGTTCGTTACAGCGGTGCATCAGTGTGATCAGAAGACCGACGGAGCTCTGGAACATGATTCGGAACGACCTTGAAGCTCGCATAGGTCCACATTCACATAATAGTTAATAAGACCGCCTACACCCAAGATTACTGGATTGTCAGTGCGCCACGCTCAGCCTCAATCTGTCCAAGACTGCGTTCTGTGTCTTCTCGTATAGAATCTAGTGACAAGAGACCAACTCTTATGTTGTCTATTGTATTTCGATATATTCTGCATCTGATATCTTTGTATATTATATAAACATCACACTGTACAATGCGATTCTTCTGATATGTTCTGTAATCTGCATGTGGGTTATCTACAGTCGGAAGTGCTGTACATTTAATCATCTCATTGCAAAGGTCAACTGTCTGATTCAGTTCTACGTTATTATTATTATTTTCTTTTTACATGAAACTGAAAGACCAGCATACAAAAAAAATATTCCGCATTCCTCCATCATTTGACATTTCAACACCACTGATGTCCACACACATCACAATCATCAGATCACAACAATGACTCTCATGTGAAGAAATACAAGTCAGCTAATGATTCTGTTTTTTTTGTTTTTTTTCCCAACCTCTGATAGATATGTTAGCTCGGTCGCGCAGCATCGAAACAGCCAATGTCTCGTGTGGGAAAAAAAAAAAGACGTCACTGCCCTCAAAAGCCGTATTGCTGTTGAGCATCTGTCAGCGCGTGCCTCGGTGTTTGCACATCCTACAAGCAAAGTCCAAAGTCAGCAGAGACTCGACATGGGAAGAGGTGGACGTGTGTGTGCCGGCAGTGTTGGACTGATAAAGTTGCAATGTTAGTAGCGCGCGATCCCTCCTCCGCTAATGATTTATAAACTGAGGAATTAAATTAAATCAATCTTTTTTTAACATTTTTTTATTTCCTCTTCTTCTTTATCTCTTACGCATCCTTGAAACTGCACACTCTACGTTAACCTTTTGCTATTGCATCTTTTTTTTTGGTGTGGCGTTCAGGGGTTGGTCTGGGTGGAGCTGACGAACAGCTTGTGCCAGCTGACCACTCTCTTCCGCATGTCCACCTTGTCCAGCCAGATGTAGGCTTCTCCGATCAGGGTCTTCTTCATGAACTTCCCGCCGTTAGACACCAAGAAAAGCTGCAAGTGAGAGAGAAAAAAAAACAGATTTGTCCTTTTAGTTGTTGTTCTGAATGTCTGTCCTCTGCCGGCTCAATCCATCCATCCAGTAAGATTAAGGCGAGGAGGACCAGTGCACAAAGCTGCTCCGGCTATGAATAAATTCAGTTTTTCCTTTAGCATCAGCAAAAAATTAATAAGTGAGACTGATGTGTGTGGAATTATTCCTTTATAGACAAAAGTTACTTT